GAACGGAAATGTTGATGTGCCAATTTAACCGTTCGCATAATCGATTGCAACGTCTTTTTCGGGCGCCTAACTGTCGCTAATTGGCGGCTTCGTACGCGCGCGGAGCGGCGCTGATACATTATTCGCGTCGCGTCGCTCGCGAAGGGTCGTTTATTCGCGGCGCGAGCAGCGACAGAGCGCATTCAATTGCAGGTGCAATTTAATTACAAATGGAATACGATGCGGGACGAACAATAATTGGCTCCCGATGATGATGTATTGGGACGAAATAATTTGAATAAAGTCGAACCGGTCGCCGGGGACCCGCGCGGCGCTCCCAATGTCGTGATTCATCCTTGATTCGAGAGCTCTCGAGCCAATGATAATTGTAGCCCCGGTTATCATTATCCGCGGCATGAAAACCTTGAGGATAGCCCCCTTCGACAGTCGGAAATTTTCATTATTTACGCTCGCGCTGCTGTAAATTACACCGCGACGGCAGCGAGGAGCCACGCCGCAGATGGCCGCCGATACAGGAATAAATGGCACCTGACTCGTTACTGAGAAATCATGCAACTGGCACACGGTTACAATGTTAATCGAATCGTTGTACTATACGACGTCGACCCGCCAGTTAATTACGACGCCAAACGTCGTTCCGCTGTCCCCGTAACTGTCAGAATCGAAAAACTCGCGTAATAATCACCGTCTGGATCGCCGTTTTCTTTTTCTTCTCGAATTTGCGCTGTACCCGACAAATATGTAAATACATATAATATATATTACATGGAATCGTAATCAACTATAGAAATCACGCTCCAAGATTTCTGACTCGTGAGTTATTAAATATTAACTCCGATATTAACGGCGAGAAAATATGTCTTGCGCGTCTCTGTTAGCTTAAGCCTTCGCGTTATCTTCATTGTCAAGCTGAAAATATAAAGAATATAATGTATAATGCAATCATTCGCATGTAATCGTTGTAGATTTGTGCCACGATATAGTGTCTTAAAAATGCCTCGACAGCAGCAATTATTATCGCGGTTTGTGGCGTTTCTTCCTGATACTGTAAATTACATTAATCGAGCGTGAAATATTGGAATGTAAAACGCGAGGTACGAAAACAAGGAAACAAGAGAGCAGTTATAACGAATTACGAACGAGAGAAAAGATTGTAATGGCTGAACAGCTGTTTTTCCCATTGGCGGCGATAATTCGCGGATGGAAGGGCAACAGGAAAGTCAAGCGTCTTCAATGAGAGTATTCATTTTTTCCCCTCGGTCATTTCGACCGACGCCTTCCTTCTCTTCGGAGCAGGATACGTTCCCAAAGTGCATACCCGCTTAAATTTTTAATATGACGAAACGCTGACGCTTACTGCGATGGCATTCAGAATAACAGGTATGCGTGAACACGCAGCGAGACATACGATAATAAAATGAACGGAATGCGCATAGGGCAGAGGGAGGGGGGATGATAATTATCCTTTCATTGTACATCAGCTTAATCTGTTTTATGTGACGCTTCAATTTCGTATATCATACTCGGAGGAGGCGAATGCGCATGTATACGGCGCATGAAAAATGCGCGAAGCAATGGGTAATCAGAATTCGCGAATTAACGAGAAACAAGCGGACATTAACGTAAGCACGTATCACTTTTATCATCGCGATCTGCATACTTTACGAGTACGTCGAGAATATGCGAGTCTATCATCGAAATGGAAACCGGCGCTTTCCTTAAATGTAACACGGAGAGAATTTTCTTTTAAAATTTATCCGGAAAATATTGTACTCGCTAGTAATTATACTTGTTAGTATACATTTTACTAGGAAAATGTGTAACAAACTTTCAAGAAACAAAATCTCATAAAGTTGTTGAAAATGCCACGTTGTCCCACGATTACACGATTTTCAGGGTAAATTTTAAGAGAAAATTCTCTCCGTGTATATGTATTGTAAATTTATAGCACGAAATGTCCTTTAACTCTTTAAAATTTAAAAATTAGAAGCGAATAACGTGGAGAAAATTTTTTATTTATCTTTTCCACCGTCACTATTTCTAAGTTATTTATAGATTCAAAATTTATTTTTCCATAACTCAAGATACCAAGATACGTATCTATTTCTTATTTACAAGTTTCGTCCGCGGGTTGGATCGAGCACCTAAGCCTACCGATTGATCGCCTCTCGCAGCAAAGTCGAGATGAAAGCTTGTAGTTTGGCGTCCGACCTGCGTTCGCTCGGACGTCGCAGTGTCGATACCTTTCGGGCTAATGGTGAACTTCGTGCTCTTTCACCGACCAAGATACGCGAAAAATATTCGTAATCGCATGGGGCAGTAACGTAAAATAATCTGGACACATCGAGATCTGATAACCATTTACTTTCAATTTTCATACGCTTATTATCATTCCATTTCGACTTAAGTTTAATTAATTTTATGTTTCATTAAATTATAATATTGACGTATAATACTATTGTCTAAAGAATTAAAATAATTGCTTTCAAAACAAAAGATTTTGTTGCATTACTTTTTTTCGCCGACGTTACAATAATACTCTATAGAAAAAGACTTTAAAGACGTTAATTGTTGTAATCGGTACGTGAGAATAATATATAAATCCGAGCCACACTTATATAATATCCATTAGAAAATCACTGTACGCAATCGATGTTACGAGTGGAAAACTCGGTGGAATAAAAATTCGCTTTCAATCTCGGGAATTGCCGCATCGATTCGCGGGTTTTCGCGGAAAGCGGATGTTCATTGTCTTCGATGTGGTCATTCGCGCGGCGAGAGCTATCACGTAAGAATTATACCTTACGACATACGCAACCACGTTGCATAAAGATATAACGAGTGTGACATGCGATCAATGAGACGGGTAATAAACTCACTAGTTACGGCTGTCACTCAATTGTAAAGAAATTCCGTCTGCTTTGTTTGTCACTGCGTCGAATGTAAATTCCGGAGCACTGTCCTCGCATACTTTCACCGCGATGCAATCGTAATATTTCCTTACAACAATCCGTTGTTTTTAAAGAGGGAGAAAGAAACTACTTCCTGAATAAAATTTGCTTTACTTTTATTTTCAAATTTAGCGGTTTCGGAAGAAGCCTATCGTAACAAACCGCAATTGAAAACACAGCTTCCTCTGTGAAGAAGCAAAAATATGTATATGAAAGATGACATAGAACATTTGAATAGCGTTGAATAAATGATCTTGCGAAAAATTAGGCCAAGCAATTTTTATAAAGTTTCGCTCGAAATTTACTTTACCCGAGAACGTTGTGCGTCCGAGTTATTATTCGCGTTATTGCAAGCGGTGGATAATTAGCGCCGCATTAGTATGATCGACGTTATTATTTTCACACTGTATGATTCTCACGGCAACGAAGCGTACGCCGCGAGGTGGTAAAAGCAGGCTTTACTACGCCGCGGGTATTCCGCATCACCCTTATTGCTGCCACGTTAAATGTCAAGATGTTCTCTTGTATGATCGGAAAAGTTCTGGGTTAACCTGACGATTCGTATAATTACATAACCGATGTTCGTCGCTCGTACAATTGCACGTCAAAAAATCGCTACGTTACTGCGCACCGTTACGTACTGTAATATTGAAAAATATATACTTATTCGGTTCAGTGATCAAGTTCATTTGTCAATAGACGCTAATCAATGCTAAAAATAATTGATACGCGGAGAAAAGTTTGATGTTGCAATTGATAGGTGCCGATCGACATGCATAAACGTCTGCAAAGCAATAAGAAATGTAAAGTGCGTCAAAAAGAAATATACCTTCAAACTAAATGAGATACGTTGAAATGATGTTTCTCGGAATCTGCTAAATTTTTATTTACTTCTACTAAAACATTTGCTAGATTTAAAGAAATCGATAGGAATTCTATTAAAAGTTCCAGTCTCAGTCAAATAAAATTTTGGTTAAGGAAAATAATTTCTTTGAAATTAAATAATATCGTCTACATCACGTCTAATTGTCGCAAATCGATTAGTCTTAATTAAGAAATTTTTGGGATTAATAATTGGCCAGTCAAGTGTCGCTGTGTGTACCACTTGAGTGTCCCATGTCGAAATTACTGGCATTGAAGTCTCCGTCGTTCAAGTCTCTGTCGTTCAAGTCTCCAGCGAGGAATGTAACTCGCGGACGCCAGACATCCTTGAGATGTAAAGATTATACAAGGGGGTTTTGGTACCTCGAAATTATGTCTCTGAAAATCAAGGGCGTTCCGAGTGGTCAAGGGCTTCTGCCGATCGACGTCACGTTGTACTTGCGTGTCTGCCAGTCGTTTAAGCAATGTCGAGGTAGAATTACTTCATTCGTCGATTTCAATATGCATATTATAAGGTAATGTGTAATTTCTTAGCTGAATTCCTCGAGACTGAGAGAAATAATAACTCAATTGTCATTTCTAAAATACAATCGCGTGTACGTATATAACAAGTGGAATCGGAAATCACTTTAATAATGGCTTTTAACAATATCAAAATGCTGCTTATATTTGCACAAGCAAATTCAAAAAATCTATTTGTTGTAAGAGAATAATGAAGAAGAGTACAAACAAATAATTACTTTACATCAATTCACACAAAATTGATAATAACGTTGAAAAAAAGACAAAGAGACTCGTTTAGTTGATTTATTCCAACGTATTAACATATTCGAAAGTTTGGACAGAGTGGACGCGACTCGGAACCGCCGCGTGCAGTAATTTAAATACGCGATTATCGTGACAACTGTACTCATCCTTAGGCGTTTAATATAGTCATCGATTCGTTTATCTCTGCTAATATTTGTGTAATTAAGATATGCGGCTTACTGTAACACGCAGTTATAATTTTGTCATGGAAGGAAAATCGGAAGAACCCGGGAGGAATAAAATTTTCAATCTCCTTGTAAGACGAACTCGCGTGCTGAAGTTGAGGCGGAGGTCGGGCCCATGGGCGGGCCCCGCCGCTCCCGAAGGGGACCTATATAAGTAGACCCGCTCGGCGTATAACGCGATCCTATAACACAATCACTTGTGCCTCATCACCAACCAGACATGCGTCCTCCCGTGAGTATCGCTACTTCTTTTTCTTCTCTCTCACCTGTATCATTCATTCGTAAACGCTGACGTAACGGGAATTACTTCGCTCCCGCAGCTAAATTTAATTTCGACAATTGGGACGCGCACAAATATTTTTATGCAATGACAATCGTGTGTTGATCAACGCGAAATATTGGAGTAAAACGGAATTTAAAAGAGTGAACCTTTTTTTTTATTCCATATTTGTGAATATAAAATTGACTTTACGAGGACTATATTAGTTTCAGTGAAAGACCAATATCTACGAGTGCTTTACAATTGTTTAAAGTGTGTGTTATATCATTACTAAAAATTTTTTTAAGGCATCTTTCAGAGACAGAAGAATTGCAATAGTCGTGTTTATGATAATGGATGGCAATTCTAGGATGTCAATTATGTTTCAGTGGTTAGCGGTCGGCTTGTCATTATAATCGGTGTATTCTTTCTGTGAGGAAACGACTATCGACGAAGGCTAAATTTCACTTGTTAGTTTGTTCATTTAAAAAATTCGCAGAAAATTACGATAATAGCGCGTCGCGTCTTCGCGCCATCTCGTCGTCGTCGACTTTCCTCGAATGCGCGTACGGAGCCATTAGAAAGTGTTCCGAATACCAACGTTTTTATGCAAATTCGTGTCACCAGGTGCTGTTTCTCTTGTTTTGCCTCGGCCTTGCGGTCGCCCAGCACAATCAACCGTATCATGTGACTACACCGGTACCTATCTTAAAACAGATCAACAAGTGAGTGCTATATCAGCGTTACGTAACCCAATGAAAGCGACACGCAACGAGTACCTTCGCATTTCTTTTCTGCGTGAAAGTTATTTTATCACGACATTTTTTTTTATAACCCTTGCGTCAAAGAGTTTGCTATTTTACTTTTATAATTAATGTGTGCGGGAAGATTTGACAATTTACGGAATACGGACCGTCGATTTCCGCCAGGCACAACGAGGACGGTAGCTACAGTTATGGCTACGAGGCGGCGGACGGGTCGTACAAGATCGAGTCCAAGTATCCGAACGGCGAGGTTCACGGTAAGTACGGCTTCGTAGACGACACCGGGAATGTACGCGAGGTCGAGTACGGCGCGTCCAGGCGCGGCTTCGAGCCGGTCGGTCCTGGGATAAACGTGCCCCCGCCAACCTTGACCGGGAACAGCATCGCCGGCAACGCGGGCGAGCCCGACGATGACGGACAGTACCGCGAGGATCCGTCGATCTACCACACCGATCCGCGTTTCACCAACGGGGAACGTTACGATCTAGCGCCTAATAGGCAGCAACTAATCGCCCTCAATTCGCCGAGGATTCAACCGGCTGGTATTCAACCGATGTGAGTCGCAATAAACACGCATGTATACACCGTCTCGAAAATGTTCGGTTTAATCACAAATCTTTATTCACAACGATTACACGATCTAACAATGAATGTTCCACTGAACAGAGATTTCGCTCCAAAGGCAATAAATTCACGATGAAACCAATCGACGATGCTTGTTAATTTAGCAAAATTCTGCTGTCTCATATTAGGAGCTTATCTCACAATCGGGGACTTTCTCCTAGATAAAAATTTAAAGCGTATTCTAAATCTGAAAGAGAGATTATGTCTAACAAATTATCACGGAAATTGATTAATTTCTGTTGAAAATTGGACAATCGAGAATGACATAACTTCGGCATTAAGTTTCTCGATTCTGCTTTACGTGACTTCTATCGCTTGACGAAGTACGTCAACTTTAATTCAATGACCGAATCAGTCGGATTGAAATGCACGCGGGAAGATCGGCTGGTCGTGGAGAACGCGAAGCGATAACAAGCGGGTTAAATGTCAAGTGAATCACTCGAAAGTACAGAGATCGTGACTTGCTCAACTTGGCGGGAAATCGGTCGCACCTCTACGCTTCAACAGGAATGGGAAAGGAATCGGTTAAACCAATTTTTCGGCTTTTCAGATACCAGGCGCCCGTCAATTATCGGCAGGCAACGGCGAGCCCGCGGTCGCAGTCGGAATATCGACCGCAGTACCGATCGCAGTACGAACCGCAGTATCAAGGTCAGCAGCTGCGATCGGCATATCCTTCGTCCGCGATTCCAGTTGGTCCACAAGAACATGCCGCGACCGACATCGACGCCAATGCCGGAGTGGCATCTTATACGGTTAATTACAAATGATAAAGAAAGAGAAAAAAAAAGGAGAAAGAGAAAGTCGAGCAATCGCACATATTGCACGTGTATATACATATGTTATCTATAGATATTTTTTTGAGATCGTTACTCTGAACATTTATTTAATTACTACAAAACTGGTTAGAGTCGCCGTCGGAATATTTTCGATAGCACACTGATTTGTTGATAATTTAGAGATAAATTCCATAGGTTACGATTAGTTTAAATATGTTTTAGATTGCGTTTGCTTTTTGTCCACGCGAACTTCGAACGAGACAATAGTTTCTACCTCTTGTTCTCCGACGTTTCCTCTTCCGCTTTAGAAGAGTCTCTCTACCTCTACCTTCTACTGGGAAATTATACTTCTTCTATGATTTACTCTTATTCTCAACTTATACCTGCGCATATCTATTCGCTCTTTCCATTTTGCAGCGCCGCGTCTTAAGTCTCAGCTACAATAGTCGCAGTCGCAGATTGCGATGCAATTGGTTGAATCGTTGCGACGCATACGACTCTGCGCGACTACGACTACTGTATACGAGGCTTTAGGCCTGTTACACAATACGTCGTATGTCGCTGTCGGGTGTCGGGACGTAGCCGATGGTCTAATGAGAAAATTTATTTCTTGAAAAGGAATTTTCTTATTGAACCATCGACCACGTCCCGACATCCGACAGCGACGTACGACGTATTGTGTAACAGGCCTTAGAATTAATACGCGTGGACCTAATTCACGTCTGCAGTCTTCATCCGAATAGCCTAAAGTGCGTGCTACACAATTGCAAACAATTTGAAATCATTAAAGTCTCATTCATCTTTGAGCACGCGTTGTATCACATGTAAGAATGTATGTGTTACGTGATACTGGGTGAATTAAGTAGAACGTATTTGGGATCAACATTAAAGTCTCATTCATCTTTGAGCACACGTTGTATCGTATGTAACACAAGAATGTACGTGTTATATAATACTTGGTGAATTAAGAAGGATGTAACAGCGAGATACCAGAGACTCAGTCTGAAGAATGCGTTCTTTTGGTTTAAATCAACTTATAACGGTATTGATCAATATACAATTGAATCGATCAATCTGCTTGCCAGCAAACTCAAGTTATACGAGCCGAATCCATGCACCGGTAATGGAGATTCCTAAGCCTTCGTTTAATGATTGAAAACGCAATTAACATTTTTCTTCGGCGTACGAAGAACGCCATCGGGCTGCATCGGGACACACCCAAGAATTTTATCGTTGTGTAACATCTAAAGATCTAACGCGCTACCTTCGCACTCGGCCTTACCGAATGCGCGCGCAAAAAAATTCACGTGCCTCGCGGTGGATCGGATCCGCCAGTCGATCTTTCCTCCGCATTCCTTTCAATTCTTCATCTTCGATAGTCCTCATTTTGCCCACATCATTCACACGAAATGCCAATCTTTATGTTTGTCACGACAGATGCAAAGAAATACATGCATCTTCACGTTTGTAAATTCAGTTATAATAATAAATAGGAATAACGTTATGTAATAGTTACGGAAAGGTAATTCCTGAAAGTTTATTACACCGTTTATTCCGCGTGATGGAAAATTGCACGTAAAAGTTAATTTTAATTTTGATTAAGCACTATTGTCGATAGGAGGAAAACTTATTTAACGACTTTACACTGGCTGGGTGGTGTAATTTCTTCCAACACCTCGACCATCCGGATTATGGTCTTTTCAAGGAAGTATCTACAATTTGGAGAAACTTATTATTTGTAAGCCGTTCGTGTAACAATTGACAGTAAAGCCACCGAGACGAAATGAGATTCACGACTCTACACTTACATATATTAGTAAAAAATTACATTGTAAAAAGATGTCATCCGTCTCTGAGTATCGGTTGGAGGAAATGCGTTTGAAGACACGTCCATCCGACACAACAGCCACAGTAGGACTACGGTCAGGGACGTTACATCGAAAAGGCACAGTGAACACGAAACGATTGTCGACAGAGGTGACATAAAATTCCTCCGGAGAAATAACGTTAGTTAAGATATGCAAAAAGATATCTTAATTTTATAATAAGAAAGAGATGTAATGTATCCAATAAAGCACAGCGCACACAGTGCTTAATTTTCACTTTTTTTCTTTCATTTTTTTTCACGACGATAGCCATGAATAGCCAAGTGGATATACAGGAGCAGTTGGCTCGTGCCAGCGTCGCGTTTCAGCTTCTGGTTTAGGATCCTAATCTGCACGCTTACACGTCGCGCATACCTGATACGTGGAGAGTGCCACCGCCCAAGCCTGCCTTTCACAATATAATCCGCGATCTACTCGATTCCGCCGCGAGATCGGCGTCTATCGTTCAATCGAGCACATATACGTATCGAGGCATCAGTTCCACGAGAGAAAAAGTTCGCAACAGCTTCTGTTAAACTTCCGCAAACGCAATAAAATTGTCAGAAGATCCCGCTAATTATTAAGCTAATATACTTGTAGAAGTATAATTAAGAAAACTTAAAGTGTGATTAAATTAAAAGTACGCCCATACGTGGCCTATCGGAAGAATTGTGTTAATTTATTGAAATACTATAATATCATATTTAATATTGCGTAACGGCAATTAGTTACCATAATACATTGCACATATGAAACTCGTATATCTTTTGCAATGATTAATGTTTAAAAAGATGGATTATTCTTAAAAAGGAAAGTATATACGCCAATATTATGCATGATGACTTGTCGATTCTGATGATCGAGTTTTCGTTCCCTCGTCTTCGATATCTACTTTATTGCGGCGCGACACGCGTGCACGCAGTATCGCGATTCCGCGTTCACTCTCGAGACATTCTGATGCAAGGCGTGGTGCGACGGTCCGGTGCGCCAGATGTCGGCAGAACTTGCTTTCCTTTATCGGCATAATGAACACGTATAACTTTTCTCTTTTTGTCGCAGCTACGTAATTATAAAACGGGTCGATTCACGCTAAATCAGCCGCAAATCATTTGTATTTCTCATTAGAACATAACGCGATCCGATATTGTATTCCAATAGTTGCGCTATTCCAACATTTTCCAATTTTATTCTTTAATTTCTGTACTCCCTAAAAGTCAATCGGTGGATTATCACTGATTCACTGAATTATTCAGTGCTATACTTATAACTGTCTTCAGTGATAATGCGCTGACTGACTTTGAGAGAGTCTTCGGTCAAGCTGCATTGCCCGTTTTATAATTGATTGAGCCATGTTGTAGAATGCAACAAATATAGAATAAAAATTAATTAGCATTTGTCTCGTCACAACATGTTTCACTGATGATTTTTCGTAGCATTGAAAATTCACGTACATGATCCATCATAAACCACTGTTAATAGTAGAACAATATGTTTGCGTTCGTGCTTTATGTGTTTTCATGCGTTGAAGAATATATCAAACTTAATACGCTTACTTAATAAATGGTAAATGTCACATGTTCTTTAAGAGATTTACTTTTTCACTTACTTTTAACGCCGCGGTATTGTTAATTTTTAATATTAAACTATTTAATGTGGCTCTTACAATTAGTAAAAATCACAATCGCAACTAAATCAATTTAGTTTTGTTTAATTAATATATTTTACTTTGCACATTTCAATAAAAGGAATGATTTTTAGAAAAATTATTTGAAAAATGATTCCATACATGTTCTGGATTTCAATATTAAACCTACATCTCAACATTTTCAACTGCACGAAAAATCATCAGTGATGCATGTTGTGACGAAACAAATACCAACTTATTTTTATTCAACATTTTATATAAATACTTTAGATTTCAATATTAAACTTACATCTCAACACAGATGTAATTGGTACTGTGTAATAAAATAATTTATACGCAATTGTGTGTATATGTGTATACTGGTTCTTTTTTTTTCCGAATACTCACGCGTGCCACAACGACAGGACGACTTTTACATTTTAGATAGTCCAAGCGCTAATCACATCACCTTCTCTTACTAGCGAGCGCCGAACACACCATCAAGTTTTTGCGGATCTGAGATCTAGTTCCTGCGCGAGCCGTGTGTGTGAGTTGTCGTAAAGCTCGGGCAATTCTTTTCGATTGTTGCATAAAAATAGAAAGTCGCAACATCAATCGGAGGAAGCTGCTACGCGAATCGTCATCGGCATCTGTTAAAAAATCGTGCGGTTCGATACGTCGAAAACATTTTCACCAAACTCGAGCGTAATAATTATGTTGTTGTTGGATTATTCGCGGCAGGAGCATCGATTGGCTTTTGTCGCAAATCGTTGCGGCAACGTCGGTGATGGTTACATAATAAAAATAAGGGAACGGCGCAAAGCGCGAGGCGCAAGAGAAATGCGCCGTCGCGAACAGCATTGCTGGACGTCCTACGATTGCATATCAAGGAATTAATTCGACCTGAGATGATCTATATCAGTAAATGTCAGGGCTAGCGGCTGTGCGACCTGCGACTGTTTTCGAAGAGAGCGACTTGTGAAAGGCGAGGCTTACATACTTCACAGCAAATTATACGGAATTCTGTATGTATGTGTTCATTATGTATCGCGATTGAGCAATGCTTCTTTAATTAAAGGGAAGTTCACGATGAGACTCATTCGATCTTTCTACAAGTATCAAAAGATTATGAATTATGATATATTCAATTTGTTTTAATACAAGCTGATATTACCGATCAATCTAATTTAAGTTAATTGATCGAATGCTTGACACATATTTTAATAAATACACCACATCAGAAATTTTCCTGTATTCCGGTAATGCGTAATTAATTTTTAATATTTACATTTTTTAATACGTTGCTATTTTTCCTAGTCAAAGCAGTCGATGTTAAAGAACGTCGTTTAAGTGTCGTTGATTAATTCGACGAAGTTTCGCAAAGCTACAGCGACATATTCTCGAAAAGATCAAACTGTTAAATAAACTCCAATGTTCGCTTCCAATTGGTTCATTATAAGACTAAGAATTCTTTGCTCGTTGTAAAAAAAATGGACCGCTATATTCCCTTTCACCCAACGGCATTGGAGTCACCGCGAAATCTTCGGCGAAACAAAACTGTAAATGCAGACATAATCTGGGTCGTTCACGGACAATTATTATGGGGATTTTAATCTTGGGATACGCCTCGTGGAAACCATCGTTCAACCGCATTATCGTATCGCCTCGGGGACCTTGATGACGCAATTGCATCACACGCATATGAGAGATAAGAAAATTGTTCTCTCTTCTTATTTTACAAAAAATGTGCTGCTCATATTTTATACATTTACAGTTTATACAAATGCACCCCACACACACATAAATATTTATATCGTTGCTTTATTATAGCAACAATATAATTTCATAGAATATCGAGTGTAATTATTAAAATTAAATCAAAATAATTGGCGAGTGTAGTCGACACATTATCGAGATTAATTGCCGCGTGAGGCAGCGAGAAAAATTAGCTAACGAAATAAGAGACGGGAATATCGGTCGATTGGTTGGCCGGCCGTCTAATATGCCGATAGAAAGTTACAAAATGCCGATCCACCGCATAATTTCACAGGCGGAACCCATGCGACTCGCGTGTTTCGTAAAAGCATCAGGTGAAAACGTCACGAGCGACCGACCGGTCGGCCTGCAAAGGCCGTACTCCATTTTACCGAATCGCTGGTCAACCTTGCATTCGGTCAGTTTCAAGGAGACGAACGGGAGTCGCGCCATTATATTTTGAGGCGATCAAAATGTCGCGCTCTCTATTTTCAGACTACGCGAAGTCTAATGGAAATCAGGCAGCGCAATCGTACAATATGTAAAGGCTATTTGTAGCTCAACGTTTCCTTCTTCCGTTTATGAAAATGTTCACCTCGGAGCAACGTAATTAGAATCATAACAGAAGTTCAACTTGCATCGTTCGTCCCGTCGATATTTGATTTTCAAATGTGTATAATCAAATCAGGGCGGGGCGATATGTAATAACACTTTCTCTTTTCAAGACACTACTTGAGCATGAGCGAGAGTGAGTGTCGCGGGGCAGAACATTGTTGAGATTGATATTACATAAACTCGAATAGCTTCGAATCGCGGTCAATTACACTTGATCCTCGTACGCGAGCGATCTCCTACAATTTGTGTGTTCACAGGAAACGCGATTTCGGTAGGAAGTATTTCGACAGCATAATCCGTAAAGAAACTTACATCCGCTTATTAATTTTAATGGCTGATGATCAAGTGTACGTTATGATACCCCGTGAGGTCTTTTTGCTTTCACAAGTAATTTAACCACTTATTAAGATACGCTAAATACGCATTTAATCACACACCGATAAAAAAATTACGAGAAATATTTTAATGCTCTGAATCTTCTCTTGAATTGCAAAATATAGCATCTCTTTCTCTCTCTCTCTCTCTCCGAGAACGGGAAACCGCTGAGGGCATTGTGGCGTACAGATTTGCGGTATTACTAGGCATTTTTCGGGCATTAGGTCTTGCTGGGGCATTATGAAAATAAAATAAGGTAAAATAAAATGAAATAAGATAATAAGATAAAGTAATGCCCACTGGGCATTAGTGGGCATTGGTGTACAAGATTTTGGTCAGCGGTTTAACATTTTAACACGTACACACACACACACACCTTTCTATCCCAGTTACTATTTACCAGATATGTGAGTAGACTTAAATTCGCAAGTTGCAAATTAATTTTGGAATGCGTTCAGGGTAGTTGTACCCTGACGTGCGTGACACAGTAGTTGCAAAACCCGTCAAGTTAGTGGTCCAATACTGGATTTAAAATGGCTACGTTGCGAGAAAAAGACTGAACGACACGGCGTCAGATAAAGTAGCTCGTTTTTTTTTTTTACGACTCCGCGACTGGGAGGCGAGACGGTGGCCAGTGATAAGAACGAGCGCACTCGTCAAATTATTTGAAACGGTGCTCCTGCGTAATTTCTCTTTCGTGGCCCCGGTCTATACCTATCGCCGCAGTTTTACATAATATCTCACCTTAGAAACTCGGCACACCAGTTTCACAAAACTGATCCAATTTTTCGTCGGAGCAGGTTACATGATCGCCGGCTGCCAGTTTCTAAGAAAACCCTTTATCCCATTCATTCAAGAAGAATTAGACAAAGGGGATTTTCCTAAGGACAAGACGCACAATCATTCCCGAATCGTTCCGCTTTTAACAGTGCACGAGCTGGGCAGAAACGACAGAGTCCCGGAGCGGTTTGGCTCGAGTGTTACGCTCCTAATGATGAAATTCTACCCGTAATCGATCCACGGATCAACCAACCGAGCGACGGAGTGCGATTTTCCAGATTCCCGAGAAACCAGAGCGGGGCTGGTGGGGAATATTTAGGGGATATAAGAGGTGCTGTAACGAGACAAGGCGAGACCGGTACGTACGTACAGGAGTCGAATAGATAGTGAAAGTCCCCCGGAGCGAACAGGAGTGCAGAGGGAGGGAGCGGGGGTTGGCAGGAACGGGGGGGCTCCAGTAAGGTATATGAGGGCCTCAGTTCGAGCAATCGCCGGTACTCTAGCCTCGCTGCCTACTTACATTCACACACACTAACACAACCACCGACCGCCGGGAGACACGATGCGCACCCTCGCGACGGTACGTATCCGAGTGCACCATCAGCAACATCGTCGTCCCAGCAACATTGTTCTCGCGCCCCGAGAAAGAAATATATGGGACAAGAAACCACCTTCGAATGCGAGCGCGAGTACGAAAATCGCGTGTGTGTTGTGATTGTGGCTGTGACCAGTGCATATCCGTATCGTGAGTTTTCGGGAAATTTGACGCTGAAAATCCTCAAGAATTCACCCCGATTTTCATTTGTCCGGTTCTGTCGACAGCTTTTATACCGCTCTCGACTTTCCACTCTCTGTGCTCCCATGCTTGCTGGCAATATAGACTGCTTTATGGAATGTCACAAATATACCTAAATTATAAAGGATCGAATCGCAGTTTTATTGCGCAAATTACAAATTCGTACAAGTTAAAATAATTCGAGGAAGAAATCTCAAGATCGAAGAATAATGGTTTATGGCTGCGATTCTCTCCAAGTTGTCACTGTCTTTTCCGAGTCGATTTATTAATGTTTCCATCTTGCTGTTCTTTTTACCGGTGAAGAATCGCGGCTCTAACCGTTGCTCGTTGGAATCGTTAAATCCGCGACAAGAAGCAAAACGAAAAACGACCGGCATCAACGCGTAGGCTTGGTCGCGTTGCGCAACTCTCGTGATCCCGTTTCCTACTTTCTTCCACGTTGAAAAATTTATTAAGGTTTCACCGATTATGTGCCGCGCGAGATGCATTAATTTTTATAGCGCGCCTACTGACGCTTGCGGAAAGACGATTATATAATTCGTCATTATGTTCGAGTGCGGTCGCGTGCGATGTTCGACGAGAATACGAACGGCTCTCGAGGTCGGTTGCAGCATCGGTTAACCATGGTTAATTAACTCCCTGCCGCTATGTAAGATCATTTGTTTCGTTCTTTTCTCCATTTTCCTGTGACAAAAATGTTTCGGACTCTCGAAATATTTGTCTATTTCTCTTCGTCGAAAACAAATTATGTGGAAACGGGAAAAGAGAAATGCAATTTGTTCGTGTTCCACAATTTACATTCGCCAGGAGCACGTGGAAATTAAGAAATACGAGCGCAAGCGAAGCACAGCGAACGGAAATAAAAATTGCCAATTAATACTGAATTATCCGTACGAGTATTTGACCGCGATACATAAAATGGCTGCTATATGTAGAGGTACGAATTTATACCAACAAATCAATGAGAGGTAATAACGAAACGTAACAGCGTGGCATAATACGATAAAGGAGCAAATAAACTTCACGATACGGAGATATAATTAATAGTTTGTTGAATTAAATCGAAACGGTTAATTAATGCCAATTCAAATGCCTACTCTCGGCATTTCACGCTCGCTCATTTGGAGTTACAGGAAGCATACTATGCAGATCGAGTGAATTTAATTAATTATTTCTTGTTAATTTTAGAATCAGCACGCGGCCGTAATCGCGCACGGGGATTGATAGGGCGTACGCGCAGTCACGCGTGAACGACCGCGATTAATAACTCGATCTATCGGTTCTCCACACCGGTGTGCGTTCCGTGGCGCGGTTTCCGCCACACGAGAGACCCGTTTTGTTGTCGCGGAATCCGGTACCCTTCGAGCTCCGCGCGATTTATTCCCCGTGTCGCAACGCTATCACATCTGGCGGTTAAGGTTCTGCTCGATAGCCGGATCGCCTTAAGCTCACGCGCTGTCGCGCGATGATCTCACGATTGGATTATCGAAGTTAACGGTTCATAACTTCGTGGCGCTACGTGTTCACTCTTGCGCCACGCGCGAAGAAATTTTCGCTTGATTTTGCGCCAATCCTCAACGCTCGTTTCCTCGCGTGAGAAAAAACGAGCGTCGTAAGAACGGCAGCGTAAAAATCGGCAAATCTAACGGCACGGAAACGAGAGGCTGTAAACGATCTATTGCCGTCTTGAATTATCTGCTACATTGTTTATGTGTAATTTGTTTCTGCAAGTCTTAATCGGAAAGTTACAAAAACTAGAAAGTTATTAAGTGGCTGAGAAAGTAGAGCAACACTGAAATAACAGCTTAGCCTTGGATCATAATTTATCTTATTGTAACTTAATTCATATGATTAAATGGAACTCGAGATAAACGCAGGTAGCGAGACGTAAGGAAAAGTTGCGATTAAATGCTGCTTCTATCGCGATACTAATACATAGGCAGTCTCCAATGGTACATGCTCCAAGCGTATTAATTGGTAATATACCGCGAAAGACAATGGACTAACGAGGCTTCCGTATTTCAGGTAGCAACGGTGCTTACCGCGCTGCTGGCGGTGTCGGCACAGCAGTACCAGCAACCCGGCGGCAATTACGTTGACGATTACGCTCAGTATGACTCCCAACGACCTAGCCAACCGACCCCACGTAGCTACGCGACCGACGCGGACCGTCAATCGGCCGCGCCGGCGAACCCGAAGCCGCCAGTGGCGATCCTGAAGCAGATCAATCGCCACAACGAGGACGGCTCGTACACGTACGGTTTCGAGGGCGCGGATGGCTCCTTCAAGATCGAGACCAAGCTGCCAACCGGCGAAGTGAAGGGCAAGTACGGCTTCGTCGACGACACTGGCAAGGTCCGCATAGTCGAGTACGGTGCGAACCAGTACGGCTTCCAGCCGGCTGGTGAGGGCATCACCGTCGCTCCGCCAACCCTGTTCGACGAGACCACCAGCAAGGAGGCTATTGAGGCGCAAGCCTATGAAGAGTATCAGCAGCAGCAGCAGCAACAGCAGCAGCAACAGCAGCAGCAACGACAGCCCGCTCGTCCAGCTTACCAGCCACAGTCGCACACCCAGGCTGTGTACGCTCCCGCGCAGGTAGCCCCGAGCAGACCTGCCCTCCCCAAACCGGCCATTTTCACGCCGGCCGCTGCGGCACCCCAAGCGCCGCGACATCAACAATCCCTGCTGCAGAATGCGTATAACGAACCAGCGCCGGCCTCGCAGCTCTACAATCAGGGACCCGCTCAGTTTGCCCCATCGCCGCCGAATCAAGGCCAGGACCAAGGCCAAGGCCATTCCCAACCGCAGACCCGTAGCGGCGGCGGTATCCTGGACCAGCTCGCCAGGGACTACGCTCTGCCACAGGGAGTCGCGCCGCCGTTGCATGACATCAGCTTCGGCTACTATTAGGCCGTCTAGTCCTGCCTCTTTGCCTACCGAAGAGTAGAAGAGTCTAGGATCAATCGTTCGTGCCTCAACCAAATTCTCTACCGTTCAACTGCAATGCTATATGGAAACCTTCTTGTTTTTCGTAGGATACATGTACTTTATGTCGCTATAGAGTTTAACTTTGGTATACTTAGAAGTTAAGAGCCGTTAAGAACTGCCGAATGTTACGATTGATCCCAGACTCGAGTGCTCGTCCCGGTTGCGTGTTGGTCTTGTATTCTATTCGTGAATGGGACGCGTCGACGACTCGTCGTAATCGCGGCGTTGCCCACTCTCGCCGAAGTGGACGGCACTGTGATTGATGATCGTCGTGAATAGATCGTCTACTGCAATCGGAAGTTGAGAACTACTAGTCTATTGACGTCTGAAATCGCAAGTCGAAAAATAAGACTCTACTTCGTCCACGTAACACGATTTCTCCATTATTAATTATACTTAATTAAAGATATGTATTCGCGAGAATTAAAGCACATTGCATCGTTCCATCAGCAGTGAACTGTGATAAATTGACAGTAAAATATAAAACAATTTTCATAGAAATTAATATGTTGTTCAAATGGATTTTTAGCCTTATCATATTTCCTTTTCTCGACTTTGGAAATGAGGTAAAAGAGCTCTCTTCAAGGTAGCTTAAATAAAAGCGAGAAGTGCTGATTTTTCGAGCAGATAGACGCCAAGGTCTGAGTTCTCGACTTCTTACTTCGACTATTTCTTTTCGCCAATACCCATCGAGTTGTTATATTAAAGGATAATATTTGACGTCATCTTTTTTAGCAATCATTAAAATTATCGCACATCACTACTCGTCGAAGAATCTCCCGGATGACAAACGGTAATCGACTAGGCGATAGTAGAAATTGTAAAAAGAATGTAAATAAAATTTCTCGTCTCCCCCTTCGGTGGGGGCGTTCGTTTTCAACTCCAGGAAACGCTTTCGCCTTGAGAACTCGCCATTGGAGTACCGTTGCGATCAATAGAATTGCGGGTCCCGCGAGAATGTTATGTTAATTGGGCGTGCTTACTATTGTAATTAGATTATTGTAAGGTAATTCGAGTGGAATAAAGTGAGGCCAATACTAGATTCCGCATGTCTCATGGAACGCAAAAAATTTCCGTACAATGCCGGTGCGACGAGATTTCCCGATTTCACCTTTCCAATTATGCTCCTCGTTAGGCATAAAGGCTTTCGATGTTCGTACTTGTTGAACGCACAAAAGAACACAAGAGTCACATCTTCGCTCGAATGTGCTCGTAGAGATCCATACTCAATTCTAAATTACCGGATTGTTCCTCGCACTTGTGAACACGGCAGGAAGGACTGCATGCAGCGATGACGGTACGCGTTTCATTATATCATATTTTTGCAAAGACATGTGAAACTTTGACACGTTAATCGCAAAAAAATTCTTCTTTAATTATTTATATTTGAGAAATTAATTCAAACTCTTCCTGCAGAAATAGCTTTTCAATTTTAGACGAAAAGCGTCGCTCCAGCAGCAACATTTATCATGTACAATTGTTATAATTTTCTAAAAATAAGACTATATTCCTGAGAACATGCCCGGTAGTGTCTTTGTTAAAAACTCATGAAAATTTTAACGCTTTATTTCTCAATGAATTGAACGTCCGCGAGAGAAATTAAAAAAACCCCTGATACGATGACAACCAAAAGCACATTGTTGCAGAAATGGCTGCATACGGTTGCGAACTTATCGTGCCCCTTTTGACTACTAGAGATTATGAAACGCCGCGGGGAAGCATAAACCGGTCCGATTTCTCACAGGTTAAGTTTTCGCATCTCTCACAGCGTCTGGCGATTTATCTTCTGCTTTTTTTTTGTTGCCAAAATCGCATGTTCCCACGTCCTGTTCACCGCGCGCGAATGATTCGCGGCTTCCTCGGGATTTTGCCACGACAACGATTCGGCAGCAACCTACTTAATACTTCTGAAAATATTCGCCGCTTCCAAAGAAATCCGTCACAATTGGGTTTTATCACATTGAACAAAGGGGCTCTACTTTCGTTCTCAGAAGTCTCAAGGTGAGCGAGCCGGCGCTACGCTTCTGCGTCTTCAAAAGTTCTCAGCGATCGGTTCTGCGCAAAAAGTGCGTGTGGGCTATGCGAGTTATTGCGTATTGTAAACTCTCGATAAAACGCGACCTTGCTGGCCCCGCAATTTTCGCCATTATTATACTTCCTGCATCTTTCGTAACAAGCGATCAGAAATATCTTGCAGCGTATATATGCGATAGGCGTTTCTTTCTCGATTACATCGATTGCTTGTCTATCGCGTCTATCTACCGCCTTAAAATTTGCGCTTTTGTATCGCATTATCCCGAGCCGTTCCACACGTATATAATTTTCTGCAGCAGATTTTTCTTTCCTCTTTAATATACTCAAGGGTATCGCGTGCAATCTTATTCTTGTTTGCATTGCTTATGCTGTATAGTATCGCGCGTTTCAAGGGCCGTGTTTCAGGCCGCATAATAAATGCTCTTTCCATCGCTCATCGCGTATCGCGAACCGCAAGGTGAAGAGCCGCGCATCCGTTTATCAACGAAGGGCGTCGTACATCAATATAAGTACTGCGTTCACGGTTACAGGACAAATTGCAGCGAGGCGTATCCTGGCGTAGCGCCAAACGATCGCGTCATAACGCACCTTTGTGCAAGGTGGGCATTACCTCACGCACGTTGACCTTCTCGTATGCAAAGAACAGCCGCGCCATCGTGTCGCGGATGCGGCGCTGCCCGACGATGGTGTTCGGCACAGATACGTTGAAATCATGTTTCTTTGAATCTACTAAATTTTTATTTGCTTCTACTAAAACATTTGTTTAGATGTGAAGAAATAGGTATGAATTTTCTTCGAAATTTCAGTCTTAATGAAATAAAATTTTGATTAACAGATAAAGAAATCATTTCTTTGAAATTAAATAAAAATCTTTATACTGCCATTGCGACAAGTATTATCGGTGGTCGAATTGGTGAGACGCTCGCTTAGAGTGCAGGGAGGTCCAGGTTCAAACCCTTAAAGAAACTTGGTTTGATTTCGAAGAAACTTTTTTCTGGGTGTACGCGTATTGTAACATCGATACCGCTACATAAAATGTACGCATTGACATTCACTCCTTAGAAAGCTGAGACGCGTGTCGAGATAGTGCCAATTATCGCAATCTTAATTCTCCTTAGAATCTCAATTACTCTTATTGACTTACCCGTGGATTACGGGCTATGCGATAGCGCGCGACGCGACGACGAGATAGAACACGGCTCGCGCTATAAAATTCGTAATGAAGGAAAATCACGCGTGGCTCGACGAAATTATACACGCTACTCGTAACGGGCCGTTGACTTGTCAGCCAGGCGAGTCACGCAAAACGCTCCGTCGGATTTCAACATTAGACGGCAGGCTGGCAGGCTTCACCTACCTCGGCGGAATTTATGCTCGCCGTCCAAGTTGCACGAAATCTACGATAACATTGATGCAAGCGATCGTGACTTTCAGTCGAGGCTCGCTTGGCGAAAATTCGGAGGAAGTAATTGAAACTTTTCTATTCACGAGTTTATTCGGTTAGATATGGCTGACCCGTGTTTATTAGACTTGAAATTTTCAAGATTTATTAAGAGGACTATCTCTTTGCTAGATTTGAACTTGTGCCTTTGTATCTCATGCTCAAAATTTTCTTTGCTCATAAACATAAATTATTGAAGTAGCTCGACTAATCGATAATGCGAAAAAACGTTTCGAAATTAATTGAAATAATTAAAAATAGAATTGCCAAAAGAGTTAAAAGCATTGGTTTATAATATTTCATTAAATTCGAAGATAAAGAGGAAAGTCCCCTATTATGAGACAGAATTTTAATATGGGTTAACGGGATTTCTGTTAACTTAATGGGCATCGTCAGTTGATTTCACCATGAATTTATTGCCCTTGAAGCGAGATCTGTTTAGTGGAAAATTCATTGTCAGATTGTGTAATCGTTGCGAAAAAAAGATGTTTGTGATTGAATTTGGGTGTTAAAGACCTGTTATCTCATAATAGAGGACTTTCCTCAAAATATGTAGTGAACAGCAGAAATGGATATTAATCGTCGGCAATTCTAAGGTTAACATTGACGAATTCCGTATAAATGCGTAACGGAGTGATAGTTTCCGAATAAATTTTTACGTAATACCAGAAATAAAACTGATTAAATTACGAGTTGCACGCGAGACGTACAAGTGAATAACGAAGATATGTGTAACGCTCCTGTAAACACTTAGACCGGACTTGCGAGTGTGAAAATAGCCTCGTGAAAATAACTTTCCCCTTCGAAAGTTTTAAGACGGTCAGCTGAGCGCCACGGAATCCGTTTCGCGATCACGTTAAGATGTATAGCAGCATTGATAATGAACTATGCATGTTCAATCCATTACGATTCTCTGTACATCATATCGAAATATAATCAAAAGATTCGCTACACGATATATACGTACGGACACTCCGTATTGATGATTGCAAACCATCTCTATTACTCTTGAGCGATTTCATTTTCCGCCACAAAATCGTCGTGTCGAAGCCGAGACGATCAGCTGAGCGTGCGGCAGAAAATGCCGCAGCATTGATAATGAACCGAGCGTCTAGGCACGTGCCTCTGCTCGCGTGGAGATGAATCGATGCCCCGAGAAGTAATAACATCGTGTTCCACGTTCCGCGCGGTGCCGGCGCCGCGAGCCGTATCCACTCGCCTCGTCTTTCCATTGATGATACCGAGAGCGAACTCGAATACGCCTCCATCCGACCTAATGAAAGCGAATGAATGCGATTTCTTCCTGAGAAATCCGGTGCCTCGCGATATTGGCATAAATCTTGGAACGGAATAAGATTCGCCGGTGTGCCGCAACGCATCGCTATTTATCGCTATGAGATTTAACGATAATTTCACAGAAATTTGAAAGCCGGCCTACGTATCGCGAAAGTCATCGCCAGTATATATTTCCGCGGAATCTCTCTAATGGACTACTTCCACCGATTTTATGCGGTACTTACACGAGGATGTAATTAATGCAGTTAATATCGGCATCTGCGTGATCACGTCTTCTCGCCATTATTCAAGAATCGACATTCTCATTCAAGAATCGGCATTCTCGATTCGAGATCGATTTTTTAGAATTGGTCCCCGATTCGTCGGTTGGGCACTTGTCGACATTTGCTGCCTTCATTATCACGAATTCGACAAGCCGACAGGTACAGACGGACACGCCGAATCGATGACTATGCCGATTATGCTAAGTACTCTTCCGTCCATAATACACAACGAGCGAAAGCGTATCGCCATCTTCTAGGCTTCGCATAGATCGCGCTTCGTAACTGTCTTAAGAAATAGGAACATCAATTACCCCGCGACTCTCCCAAATTAATATACATCGTTCTCGCGGCGCCTGAATGTGATATTAGCCACTCCACGCGGGCCTCTCCGTCACTTTCTTCTTCTCGCTGGTGTGCGCACACGTACTCGTACTCGTACTCGTCGTCCTTAAGAATCGGCGGATTAACATCAAGACCGTTTCTGCCGATGTTACACTATCGGCGTTCGTTGCTAAACGCTATACGCTAAAACCAACAATGTCGTGGACTGTATTGATCCTATTATACTTTAAGAAAACAGA